ACAAGTGTAGTAAGAGCGTTTTTACATCACGCAGGTGAATGTTGTGCAACGAGCGAAGGCGAGTTGCATAATTCACCGAAGTGATGTAAACACGCTCTTGCGTAACGTGTAACGTACACGATTTTACCTGACCCGACAATATTCAGGAGGTTACGAGCAATATGCTTCATTATCAATTTCACTCATCTTCTAACAGTAACGTTCATTTACAAACAAAAGCTAGGTTAGGAAAATTCTTCAAAGCATAACAATAAAATTCAAACACACAGCTGATTTCTAGCGTTGAATGTCGTTGGCTCCATAGAGGTATATTTTTTAAGTTATCCACTCAATGTTATTTAAATGGGTTTCATTACATCACCGAGTGAGTTTTTTTCAACTTTACATCACTCGAGAAGTAAGGAAGTTGTATACATCACGCTTGGGATAGGGAAGTTTAACATGGCGGGTTAGGTAAACTTATTTACATTGTTGAGTTGTCAAATAGATAATCGATAAACTATTTAAATTTTAAATGTTACTAGCAGCAAAAACTGGAGTTGCCCAGGTTAACATAAAATTCACAATAATGGTAATAAAATATGTTTTTTTATTGATTAGGCCTAATACAGTATCTTGAAATTAACTGGTTCAAGCGATCAGTATCTCGAATGAAAGCCTTTATTTCTGAGTATTTTAAGACAAAGACATATAAAAAAAATAAAATAAAAATTGACTTACGTATCATTGATATAAGATAAATAATAAGATAAATAATTATCTTTGATTCGTGATTCAGCAGCGTGCATCAGGTACGTCCGATCTTAATAATCAAAATAGCCCAAATGAAAGCTGATATTTCACTGAGGTAGACCAAAACATATAGGATATTGTAATTAGAACTGGTGAAATAGATCTTTAACTGAATATAAAAAATTGAAGAAAATTCTAATACATGTTTTTTTGGTCGGGTAATACAGTAGATAAATGAATGCTGACGCTTGATGGTCAATCTGTACTTTCATAACTTAAATTTTAGGCCAAAATTATGAAAATCGGTCAGGTAAAAAAGCCAATCGAACTCGGAAAAGAAAACCTAAATGTAACTCCTATAAGAAATGGACCGGGAAGAAGTTGCTTATGTGCTTAACTCGAAATATACGTCAGGTAAATGAATGCCTACGCTTGATGGCAAATCTGTGCGTCCATACCTTTCATTTAAGACTAGAATTATTATGAAAGTCGGTCGGGTAGAAGAGCCGAAACAACTCGGAAAAATCCAATATTTGAGCGGAGCGAGCGAAGCGAGCGAAGCTCTTATACGTCGACTTTTATGCATTTCGTAATACGCAAGCTCCTCCTAGACGGCTGAATCGATCGTTTTCAAATTTTGGATGGTGATAAAGACCATATCGGTGAGTGCCAACATCTATATGGCGTTAAAAATAACTCTCAGGAATCCACCCCACTGGGTCTCAAAGTTTCAATGTAATCCTTATGGAAACAGTATTTGACACATAAACAAAGACATATGATCAGCTGTTGACTTTTAAATGCAGTAGATAAATAAATAGCTGATAGCATTATTCCACAGATATTAGAACATAAACGGTGGTTTGGATCATAAAATAATCAAATGACGACACTAACTTGAGGTCCGTGACGTAGGAAGTGGTGAAGGAAGTAGTAAAGGTGAGCAGTCTGGAGTGTGCAAACTGTTTATGACGATTGGATTTAGGTATCTGCATTCCAAAAATTATAAGGGAAGGGAGGAAAACGGGTCCGCGACGTAGGAAGTGATGAAGGAAGTAGTCAAGGCAAGCTGTCCAGAGTGTGGGAACTGCTTATGACATTATATTAAGGTATTTGCAATCCTATGATGCTATGGGAAGGGAAGGAAACAGTTCCGTGGCGTAGGAAGTGGCGAAGGAAGTAGTAAAGGCGAGCAGTCCGGAGTGTTGGAACTGTTTATGACGATTAGATGAAGATATCTGCAATCATAAAAGCTATGGGAAGGGAGGATAGCGGGTCCGCGACGTAGGAAGTGATGAAGGAAGTAGTCAAGGCAAGCTGTCCGGAGTGTGGGAACTATTTATGACAATTAGATTAAGGTTTCTGCAATCATAAAATGCTATGGGAAGGGAGGAAAACGGGTCCGCGACGTAGGAAGTGATGAAGGAAGTAGTAAAGGCGAGCAGTCCGGAGTGTTGGAACTGTTTATGACGATTAGATTAAGGATTAAGGTATCTGCAATCATAAAATGCTATGGGAAGGGAGGAAAACGGGTCCGCGACGTAGGCAGTGATGAAGGAAGTAGCCAAGGCAAGCTGTCCGGAGTGTGAGAACTGCTTATGACCATTATAGTAAATAAGGTAATAAGGTAATAGGTAGTTGCAATCCTATGATGCTATGGTAAGGAAGGGAAACATGTCCGTCACGTAGGAAGTGGTGAAGAGAGTAGTAAAGGCGAGCAGTCAGGAGTGTGGGAACTGTTTATGACGATTAGATGAAGATATCTGCAATCATAAAAGCTATGGGAAGGGAGGATAACGGGTCCGCGACGTAGGAAGTGGCGAAGGAAGTAGTAAAGGCGAGCAGTCCGGAGTGTTGGAACTGTTTATGACGATTAGATTAAGGTATCTGCAATCATAAAATGCTATGGAGCAAAACGGGTCCGCGACGTAGGAAGTGATGAAGGAAGTAGTCAAGGCAAGCTGACCGGAGTGTGGGAACAGCTTATGACCATTATTTTAAGGTATTTGCAATCCTATGATGCTCTGGGAAGGGAGGGAAACATGTCTGTCACGTAGGAAGTGGTGAAGGAAGTAGTCAAGGCGGGCTGTCCAGAGTGTGGGAACTGTTTATGACGATAAGATTAAGGTATCTGCAATCATAAAATGCTATGGAAAGGGTTAGGAAAAGGTCCGTGGCGTAGGAAGTGGCGAAGGAAGTAGTAAAGGTGAGCAGTCCGGAGTGTGGGAACTGTTATGACGATTAGATTAAGGTATCTGCAATCATAAAATGCTGTGGGAAGGGAGGATAACGGGTCCGCGACGTAGGAAGTGATGAAGGAAGTAGTAAAGGCAAATTGTCCGGAGTATAGGAACTGTTTATGACGATTAGATTAAGGTATCTGCAATCATAAAATGCTATGGGAAGGAAGGGAAAAGGTCCGAGACGTATGAAGTGGTGAAGGAAGTAGTAAAGGTGAGCAGTCCGGAGTGTGGGAACTGTTATGACGATTAGATTAAGGTATCTGCAATCATAAAATGCTGTGGGAAGGGAGGATAACGGGTCCGCGACGTAGGAAGTGATGAAGGAAGTAGTAAAGGCAAATTGTCCGGAGTATAGGAACTGTTTATGACGATTAGATTAAGGTATCTGCAATCATAAAATGCTATGGGAAGGAAGGGAAAAGGTCCGAGACGTATGAAGTGGTGAAGGAATTTGTAAGGTGAGCAATGTGGAGTGTGGGAACTGGAAACCGTTTGTAGCAGTTAAATTAATGTATCTGCAATGCTGAAATGCTATGAGAAGGGATGGAAGCATCCCCACGACATAGAAAATGGTGAAAGAAGTAGTAAAGGCTAGCAGTGCGGAGTGTGGGGAATGTTTGTGGCAATTAGATTAACGTATCTTAAATACTAAATTGCTATGGAAAGTGATGAAAACAGGTCCACGATGTAGAAAAAGGCTTAGAAAGTAGTAAAGTATGAGCATAGTGTGAAAACCGTCTGTTGCAGTTAGATTGATGTATCTTTAATCCAAAAATGCTATGAGAAGGGAAGGAAACAAGTCTATGGCGTAGGAAATGGTGAAGGAAGTAGTAAGGCTTGCAGCGCAGAGTGTGGGAACTGTCTTTGGCAATTACATTAATATATCTGCAATCCTAAAATGTTATGGGAAGAGAGGGAAATAGGTCCACGACGTAGGGGTGGTGAAGGAAGTAGTAAAGGTGAGCGTGTTGAGTGTGGGAATGGATTAATGTATCTGCAAAGCTAAAACGCTATGGGAAGAGACTGTAAACTGTAGGTTAAAATAATTTCGAAGCACGAATCGATACATATTTCGATACATGCAATCGTTTATAATAGAAATTTACAACTGAGTTGCCAACAGCTGATTTTTACTCCATAGAGGATAAAAACTATTTTTACTCCATAGAGGATAAAAACTTTTTTACTTCCTAAAGACTAAAATTGCTACTTAAGACCCTCAACGCATGCATTAAAAACGACTGGTATTACTGCTGTATGACCAAAACAATATAATATAAACCCTTGACGACTCCGCTCAATTTTGTGGATGCTTCTGCGAACGCCACCTAGTTATTAGTAAATATACAAGAGCTCACCCCGTGGTCTAAAACTCGACCAAAGTATGTATTGTGCTTGTGCAAACATTTTCACCCCACGCTGTAAATAAAACATGCGATTAGAATTTATTCCATTTGTTTTGATTTTCTGGTTATATTTTGTTGTTATTTCGTCACCAACATGGCAACCCATAAGGCCAATGTTATTTTTTAACTATAAATTCATCTTTGTGCTTATTTTTGAGCCTTATTTTAATTTATAAAAAGATTCTGCACATCTACGTTCAAATATCTTTCTAACAGTATGAATAGATTTTCCCTGTGGTGCACAGGAGCTGGGAAAAAAGGTTTTCAAGAAACATGCTTGTCTATTAATATATAGAATCATCCACATGTCTCTTCAAAAGAAAAGTTTAATTTCCATTTTTGACCCAATTAACATAAATATTTTTAAAATACAAATAAAACCTGCACATATAGGACCGATAACCTTTCTTTTGGTATAATCCGTGTGTAATTCGGTCCAGTAGTATGGTAAGGTTAGCTGTCATAAGTTGTTCAAAGTTTTTTTTTAAATATTATTTATAAGATTATACATGTATTGGTAGGCTATATTATAGTATAGATTATGTACATATATGTATATAGATTTTGAGAAATAAAACCAACGCTGTGTGAATTTGAAATAATTGTAAAAAGCACTCACCCTTGCTTCTGTTTCTTTCTCCTTCTGTTCCGTCGTCTTCTATTCTCCATATTATTGTTCCTCTGTCTGTGCGGTCTCCTCATCTTCTTATTCTTATGACCAGTCTTTTGTTTCGTCGACGCCTTGCTGGTCTCTGTCGTTGTCATCACAACAGGCACGGGGGTTGTCTCTAGTATCTTGCCCTGATACTTCCTAGTCGTGGTCTCTGTCGTCGCCGTCGACGTCGGTGTGGTGATGGTCGTCGTCTTCGCTAAGTCAGTCGTGTTTCTGTGCCGAGGCCTCGCCCTATTCCTCGCTCTCTCCTGTCCTGCCCGGAACACCCCGGTTGTTCCGTTACCGGACAACCCCTTCTCCTTTTTCATACGTAGCCCCGGCAGCCCTTCCTCTTCCACCTGTAGCCCTTCGTGAAGCACTTCTTTCTTGTACTTCTCCACCTCCTCCTGGTAACTCTTGTTGGCTCTCTGCAGACTCCACTCAGTCTCGTACCTCACGTTGGGCAGCGCGATGTCTCCCAGGAAACCGTCTGCAACAACAACAACTCTGCATCAGGCGAATGTGGTTGGACGTTATGACTCTAAGGTGGAGAGGCCCTAGGAACAGTCCTTTTCTAATACTAATGTTACACGAAAATGCTATTATCTTTTCGGTTACAAATATCTAGTAGTAGCCATTCAAATTTGGTTTCAAATATATACAATAGCCTATATGTGAATTATTTTAAAGCCTAGCGGCATTCCGTAAACACGATAAGCTAAATTGTAACGTAAATCATCCAAATCAAATAAAAAAACGTTTCGGTTGTTTTATTTTGCCCCAATCCAACGTGTATAAATCCAACTGGGAAATGATTTAAGAAAATGTTACAGCTGACACTTTAGTTTTAACTTGGTCTACAATAGAGCTACAACACAGAATTATTTCTGGGGGGGCTACAGGGGCTAAATCTCCCGATTGTTCCCTGGGAAAATAAATGCAATCATATACACACACGTAATGGATGTTTTTGGGCACAGTTCTAGATGTTAATATGGTTTAAGAATGTCTCCAGAGGGGTTCAAAAACAAAATTTACCGAGAGAGGACATCCAGATCCCCTCTCCTTTCTTACAGTGGAGATCCACACCCCAGAACTTCCAAGTAGCCCCCTTCTTGATGAGGACCTGAAACCGCCACTGAATACATGTACATGTACACTGGAGGTCATCCTCAGATCTAATCCAATCCAAGACTGATAGAATAAAAATCAGAAAGAAGCGTTATCAGAGCTACACATATCACATAACCAAAAGCACACTCTTAAAAAAAAAAAAAAAAAAAAAAAAATAGATTTGATCCCATCTCAGCATACTAATATTTCGTTTGAATAACAATACTCATACCCGACCGATAGGGGAGGCATTTTTAATAATTTTTTTTTTATTTTCAGAAGGTTATGTGTGCAATAATAAATAATATTAATAATAAAACACGAATTATTGATAACACATTCCGTGCATGCTTGAATAGTTATCACGGACACATATTCTACTTGTCATAACTACACAGCAGGAAGAAACTGTCATATGAGCGGGAGGAGACAGACAATCAAGTAGATTCAGTTGTTAGGCAACTAACCATTAGGTCCATACTAAACAACTCTCTGACACACGCTCCAATAGGAATCACAGCGCAGCAGGAAACTGTCATATATAAATTTAGAAAACTAACCATTTGAAAACATACTAAACAACTTGCTGACACACCTCCAATAGGAATCGCAGCGCAGCAGGAAACTGTCATATATAAATTTAGAAAACTAACCATTTGAAAACATACTAAACAACTTGCTGACACACGCTCCAATGGGAATCGCAGCGCAGCAGGAAACTGTCGTATATAAATTTAGAAAACTAACCATTTGAAAACATACTAAACAACTTGCTGACACACGCTCCAATAGGAATCGCAGCGCAGCAGGAAACTGTCATATATAAATTTAGAAAACTAACCATTTGAATACCTACTAAACAACTCGCTGACACACGCTCCAATGGGAATCACAGCACAGAAGTAAACTGTCATATATGAATTTAGAAAACTTACCATTTGAATACCTACTAAACAACTCGCTGACACATGCTCCAATAGGAATCACAGCACAGAAGTAAACTGTCGTATATGAATGACAGGAGACAGACAATCATACTGATTCAGTTGATAGAAAACAAACCATTTGAATCCCTACTGAACAACTATCTGACACTCTTTCTAATAGAAATCACAGCTCAGCAGGATACTGTCATATATGAGTGATATGAGAAAGACACTCATATTGATTCAGTTGTTAGACAACTAACCATTTGAACCGATAATACGCTCACTTAATTAACAATGATAAATATATGTCTAATTAAATCGTGCCACATGTAGATTCCACACTGAATTCTCTTTTGAAAAATGGTATTTTTATTTAAAGTATCTAGCTAAAATATTTGCCGGCTTAAGGGCTAAGTACATAACTGTAAGAATAACAACCTGTATTATCACGTTGTAAGTTGTTACAAATTAGCAATCTAAAATCGTGTCTTCTGAACTAGGTAGTTGTAATGTATTGTTCGCATTTTCATGATACAGTAACTCGCTTCACACATAAAAACCATTAACACAGCGACCAGACACGTTTAATCCTCAAAACCAAACTATAATGAGAATCGCGGTGGTTTTATTCAACGGATTGGTGTTAAGCTTTCATTGAATACATTCATAGCACTAGGCGTAAAATGGTCTTTAAAGCGGGATTAGTATCAACTACACGCGGGAAGCCGTACAAAGTTATCATTTATTGATCACTTCTGACCAATGTACATTATTATGTGTCACTTTCTCTCAAGTATATGGTCTAGACATATCTCAAGCGTACAATACATATTCCACAGTTGGGGCAAGCCGACCAATTCTCATCCTCGTCCGTTAAGCAGCGATAAGTAAAGGTTAAATATTAACTTGTTTTTTTATGACGATTAGACAATGAATCGATTCAGTACATAGAGTTTGACCATGTAGAGGAGCTATATTGGGCATATGTAGGATGGAAACTCGTTTGTGATTTGTTAATTTACGAGGTAAGTGAACGGAATTTCTAGGGGGTTTTCACGGGTACTGCAAAGAAAGCACGTGGAACGGTTTGACCATGCCACTCCCATCTTACGAGATTAGTGGTGGAAGAGGGTGTGTAGCTCTACTTATAACAAGAGTGGGAATTTTCACCCGATTTCATTTAATCACATTTCCTACAGATCAACAATGTTGCTGAAAACTTATTGGATTTAAAATGTATGTAAATTGTTTAAAAAAAGGTTGCCCCGTGGTTATATACTACGTGTTTCCATGTTGAAAATGTAAGAGTTTGCCTCAATTTAAGTTTGATTAAAGTTAATTTAAGGTTGATAAGTGTGTGGTAATTTGTTTGTAAGTAGCTTTAAAAACATTTGACTACTTAATTGTCTGGGTGGCTAAGAGGTTTAGTAATAGTGTTAGACTTCAAATCTGAAGGTTACTGGTTCGACTCCAATCAAACCAGACCCAGATGCCATTTTGCTAGGGCCCCGACCACGACTGGAACCGAACCAGACCCAGATGCCATTTTGCTAGGGCCCCGACCACGACTGGAACCGAACCAGACCCAGATGCCATTTTGCTAGGGCCCCGACCACGACTGGAACCGAACCAGACCCAGATGTCATTTTGCTAGGGCCCCGACCACGACTGGAACCGAACCAGACCCAGATGTCATTTTGCTAGGGCCCCGACCACGACTGGAACCGAACCAGACCCAGATGCCATTTTGCTAGGCCCCCGACCACGACTGGAACCGAACCAGACCCAGATGCCATTTTGCCCCGACCACGACTGGAACCGACCAGTTTTATAATAAGAATACTGTAAATGGAACAGTGCTCTGGTCGCATGGTGAATGACAACGACTGGTCGACTGGTTGGACCCTGGTCACACGACCAAAGTTTTCCCGTTAGGTCGGGCCCGCTGGCATATTATTAACGGCATTTATTATTATAATTATTAAAATTATTAAATTATTAAAATATTACATTTATTATTATTAACGGCACTAAATTTGGCCGTTGCAGCCAAACATAGCACACAATGTAATGGGACGACGCGCACTACCCCCGACTTGCCTCCGATCCGACCAGTACACCACTCAACCCCCAGTATTCCTACATCAATCAAACGGTGAGCACTTGCTTTTTGCGCCGGTCTGTGAAGTGAGTATTTTGGTAAAATGTCGCAGGATTTTGACACTTTTGAAACCTGTCTTAATATTGACGTACCTCTTCACAAAATGTTGCAAACTGCTCTTTTGTAGACCTAACAGTTAACATTGGATGTACCCAGTATAGTGTCTTCTTCCGCTTAACGTACCTACGATACAAATGCACCACAGCAACTACTTCTTCAACATCCATCTTGACACTGAAGTTTGTAAAAAAATCGTTGCCTTGGTCAGGTCGTGGTCGGGTCGTGCTCTGGTCGCATGGTGAATGACAACGACTGGTCGGGCGTTTGGTCGTGGTATGATCTTTCATTCGTGGTCTTGGTCGGGATAGTGCGTGCCGGCCCTACAATTAACGATGATATCTAACAAAAGATCGAAGTTGATAGTAACAAGATAAGGGTTTGGACCGTTCCTGTACAAAAAACTTTACGAAATTTCACTATCGCAGATTAAAAAACAATTCGAAAACCGCTGTTCTGGATCGACAGTTTTAACAGAATACTTGATACACTTGAGTAGGACGGACTCACAGCTAGTATCAATTAAAATAGAAAACTATTATACATATATTCTCATATCGCAGCTCACAATAACACAAATATGCAGTTAAATAAAATTAGTTAAACGTCTGTAAAATCTTGTTACAATAACAATAAAACGTCCATTAAACAGTTACTCCTTGAGTAAATACTTTAACACGACCGTATAATAACTGGTTAGTTCTATAACTGAAATCTGCACAGGGATGCTTAAAACAAGTACGCCTCTGAAAATCTGACCTCAGGCTACTTTAGTCCAACAAACAGCCAGCATGTTGTGTAGAAACTCTACTTATTTTCAAGTGCGTCAGAAATAAGATGAAAAATATCCTAAATATTAAAGTTAAAGAATTTTAAAAGTTAAAAATAGAATTACAAAGTTGAAGATAGTCGCTGAAGATAGTCGCAGTAACCCGAGGCCTACTAGTGTAGAGTAGTGGCAATGAGTGATGACGCGGTGGGGAGTGGGAGGGGGAGAGAGAGATAACGTACCAGATGACCTATGACCTTGTTATCAGCTGGACACCTTGTTATCATGAGGTCACCTCATCATAGCTTTGTCATGTGGTACTGCAGCTCTCGCAGCCATCAAAATAGTTGTTACCGTTAACAGTAATTCAAGCTATAAGTGCGGCGTTAAACATTTGTGCTTTCATCAGTTTCATCAATTTAAGCGAGCTATTGTACGAACGATTATCTTTATTTGGTAGA